CTTGGTCGAAAATCCCAGTGCAGGGGGACAGGCCCGACTTCAGCCTAGACGACGCTCAACGCCTTCGGGCAGCTGGCGCAGGAGGCGGCCGCCGCTGCGGCCGCAGCCCGCTGCGGCCGTGCCTGCGACACCGCGGACGGCCGCCCGTGCGCCCGCGGGGCGCCCCGCGACGAGAGCGGCCCCCTCGCGCCTGCGAGCGCGGCGAGCCCGCTCCCAGCAGCCGTGCCGCCCGCGTCTCCTGGCTCGGCTGCCGCTTCCCCGATCATCCCGACGGGCCCGACTCAAAAAGATCTAGCCCTCCCCCCCCTCGCGGGCTCGCACACGGCCCCTTCGGGCCCTCTCCGGGCGCGCCTGGGCGTCTCTTGGGGCGCGCCTGGGCGCCTCTTGGGCGCTCTCGGGCTGGCGCCCTCCTGGGCCCCTCCTGGGGCTCGCGGGGGTGCGGGAGAGTCCGGCCGCGCTGCCGGCCCACGTGCTCCGGTTGCAGCGGGGCCCTGCGACCATGCGGGCGGCCCCGCGGGGCGCGCGGGTCTTCCCGCGGCCCCGGGTTGCCGAGCGCAGGGGCTGCAGCGCGTTCCCCAGTGCCATCGCCTGCCCCGGCGCTCTCGCCGGGGACGCCTGGCCACATCGGCAAGGGAGGTCGCGGCAGCGGCGCCGCGAAGTTGCAGGCGGCAGCGTTGGCCCCGGGATCGCAGGCCCAGAGGTTGACACCAGCACCAGGATTGGCGCTGTGCCTCCACCGAGGGAAGACGATCCCGATCTCGGTGATAGTGGCAATACTCTGGCTTCCAAGGTGACCGAAATATTACCACCAACACTGAAATCCAGGATCATTCATCTTCCCCACGTGGAGGCAAACCCCTGTGCTGGTGTTGGTGCCAATGGTGCCAATTTAGAGGCCTCCAACTGGACGGTCGAAGCTCAGCGCGAAGCCCGTGGAGGTCATCTCGGGGGGAGCAGGCATGCCAGCGGACGAGGCGCGCTGCTTGCCCGCATCGGAGGAGGTGGCCGTCGACGCAGCAGGAGGAGGTACATTGGACGGCAGCACCATGGAGGACGACCCCGCCGAGCAGCAGCCTGCCGCACAGCAAAGACGTGCTCACGCAGCCACATTTCGATTCTCCGACTTGCGGATCAGCAAGGGGAGGTTGCCAGCATTGATCGGGACAACCTTCTCTCCTCCACGCCAGTCGTCAGCGCGACTTGCGAGTCGGGGGCCCAGGGGTGTGCCAACGAAGTTTGCCCTTCTGTCCCGCCGATTAGAGGTTGCAGGTGCAGCCCCCTTCGGACGCCACTTCCATATCGGAAACTGGAGCATATTATACATTACCAGTGGCGGGCGGTTTTTCAATCCCAGGACTTTTTTGAGGGTCGGGGACGATGTCGGGGTGTTGTGGGGTATACTTGTTCCCCGTTTTCTGGGGGAAACAAAGAAGAATGTATACACCAGGATCACGTATACACCAGGATCCGCTTCCCTGTGCGAGATTCAGTGTGAGGCCAGACAAAGGCGTCGGTGTATAGAGTTCGGTTCCCTACCATAGGTCAACAGTTGTTCGCCCGCTGGAACAGACCATTGGACGATGCCATATGGTCGCTTGCGAGGCACTGGCATTCTTCTACTTTCAAGGCTTTCTCTAAACTATCTCGTTTCACTGACCTGTGCAGCGTTGCCGAGATGGCTTGCCGGCCTGCCTGCAATATCCTGCGCTCTCCTGACGCGCTCAGTCGGCTTTGGCAGCCTTTCGAGCCGACGCAGGTCCAGCGGCAGTGCCCGGGCCCCGCGGCTCGCATGGCGCCCCTTCTGTGAGGCGGCACAGGAGAGAAGGCCGCCGCACCCTCTGGGCTGCTGAGGCTTGCGTCCAAGGACGGCCCGGGGAGGCGCCCGCCCGGTGCCGCTGCGCCGTCGGGAGGGAGGTTTGATCATGTTAGGGGGGCACATGCGAACCCAACCCCTACCCCCCACGAGTTCTGAGGGGGAGGGTGGGGCTCACTTCGTGCGGGAGCTCCCGAGCGAAGTGAACCCCACCTTCCCCCTCAGAAATCGTGGGGGGTAGGGGTAGGGTTCGCATGTGCCCCCCTACATGTACTTTGCCGGTTGCTGCCGCCAGCGTCCTGTCCTTGGGCCCCCAGCGTGCCGGAATCAACCGTAGATTTCAGCTGGCGGGGCTCTTGTGTCGGGGCGTAGGAAGCACCCATGGGGCCGTCTACCGGCAGCCGAGGTTCTCCCTGGCGGGCGCTGCCCTGGCTGTCGGCAGCGTGGTTTTTAGGGAGCCAATTGAGTCTCCCCAGCACGGATGAAGATGATGAAGGTGGTGGTGATGAGTGTGATGACGGCGATGGTGATGATGCCGGTGGTGATGGTGATGACGGCGACTACCGTAGATCATAATCCCCGCCCCTTCTCATCACCGTCTTCTGGCTTCTCGTCCCCGCGCCCCTCAATCGTCCTCTTACTCCTCCGTCAGGCAGCGTCGGCTCGAACGCCTCTGGCCCCTCTTCTGGGGCCAGCGGCAATGTTAGCGTTTCAGCCCCTCGGCAGCGAGTCCCGCGAGCCCCTTGGCTGAAACTGCGAGTCCCGTTTCCGCGTTCCCCGCGAGCCCGGCACCCCCCCAGCGGCAAGCCCGGCGCCGAGCCTTGCGGCCGGCCCGACGCCGAGCCCGATCGGCGCCTTCGAGCCAGGGGCGTGCTCGGATGCCGACGCGAAGTCGGATGCCGACGAGAAGTCGGGCGCCGACGCGCGCCGACGTAGTGTCCGCGGCCGCGTCGCAGGACGCCGCGTCCGAGCCGGGCGGCTCGGCTGCTCAGGGCAGTTCAAGTTCTGCTGGCCGCGGCTCCAGTGCAGAGTCGGCCGCGGCTGCGACGGCGAAGGCCCCGCCGGGCAAAATCGTCGAGAAGTTCGACCCTGGTGATTCGATGCCATTGGGGGAGCACGTCGCCAGCCGCAACTTCCCAATGCACGTCAGGACGTGCGGCGCTTGCCGCTACTGGAAACGCAGTTTTCAGTAGAGCGCCTCTTTTTCTGTGACGAATTCAGTGACCCTGAAGAAGGAATCTTGGATAGACAGCGCCAGTGGATGTGTGAGCAGTTGGTTTTGCGCGGAGTTCAGGGGCCCTCGGTGCCGTTCCGCCTTGGGCAAAGGCGTCGGGATTTTCCGCCGTCGTGCAAACTTGCGCGACGCCAAGAGCCAGGGGCACTGGGCAGCAGAAGCGGCGTGGGCAGGGTGGGTGCGAGCGGAAGGCTCGCACCAGAGCCTCCCCGTTTCAGTGTTCTTCGCGTCTGCAACGACCGAGCCAGCGGCCGCGGCCGCAACTGCTGCCTTGCGTCCTCCTGGCGAATAAATGAGGACGCGCGAGTGTAGGATCATGCTGTTCGACGGGGTGTCGAGCGATATCGCCGTTGTGAAAATACAGTTCCCTGCGTGCATGTTGTGACAACAGTTTCCTCTTCTGGCCATGGGCACGGGTGGAGTCTCGAGGGGCAATTTCCATCCGTGCAGCTGTGCCATATGTTCAAGTTTCTAGTTGTGCATGTTCAAAACTCCCAAGCGAACGCTTAATTTTCAAAAGGAGGCGCCCGTCATCAGGTGGAAAGTATGTTCACATGTCTGGTCTTTCAGAAGCGACAGCCTCGCTTTGAAAGTCTACCGCCAAACATGCTTGTATGTGCTGCGAGCTTGCAGGACGAATCTGCGCGGCGCCCAGGCGAACGCCCTATTATAAAGAAGGGGCCGCCCAGTATTACTGAACCTAATGCAAATGGGTGGGACGAATGTGCGTGGCGGTGAGGTTGGACTCCCATTTTGAAAATGAGGCGCGTTCCATTCTTGAACAGGTCGCAAGTATTCAGATACATGTGCGCGGAGCTAGGACGAGAACCATGTTTTGAAAAAAGGCCGCCCTCCATCCGTGTAGTTATTGCAAGCTTCAAGGCCATTTTGAAAGCCGCCTTCTTCATCCTTGAGGCTGGTGCAAACTATTCTAACGAACCTGCGCGGCTCTTAAGCCACAGGTCCACTTTGAAAACGACCCGCCTGCAATCCGTGAGATTGCTGCCAATTCCAAGCTTCGGAACCAGAAATGGTGAGGAGATCTTGGGCGAAACGCCCGGCCCTCCCCACCAACATGCGTGGGCGTGCAGCCAGGACAAGTCATTTGCAAGGAAGCGGGCTGGACGAAAAGATGGACGAGGAGAAGGACGAAGGCGAGGACGAAGAGAAAAGGAGGGATGGGGGGGCGCAGGATAAATCATAGGAATAGTAAGAAAGGTGTGATGATGACGATGCTGATGGTGATGATGGTGATGATGATGCTGGTGATGATGATGATGATGATGATGATGATGATGATGATGGTGACGATGATGATGATGATGGTGAACATGATGAGGGTGATGCTGATGATGGTGATTATGCTGTGAATGGTGATGATGATGTCGAGGGTGATGCTGATGATTCTGATGATCATGACGGTGTTGTTGATGATGATGGTGATGATGATGATGATGATGAGGAGGTGATGATGATTATGGTGTGATGATGATGATGATGATGATGATGATGATGATGATGATGATGATGATGATGATGATGATGATGATGATGCTGATGATGATGATGATGATGATGATGATGATGACGACGACGACGACGACGACGATGATGATGATGATGATGATGATGATGATGATGATGATGGTGGTGGTGGTGGTGGTGGTGGTGTGGTGGTGGTGATGATGATGATGATGATGATGATGATGATGATGATGATACGGGTGGTTGTGATGATGATTATGACTATGATGATGAGGAGGAGGAGGAGGAAGAGGAGGACGAGGAGGAGGAGGAGGAGGAGGAGGAGGAGGAGGAACAGGGGGGGGGAGGAGTAGGAGGGAGGAGGATTAGGGAGGAGGGATGAGGAGGAGGGTCCCTGCTCCACCTTGGCCGCAGTCCAGACGTCCTGCCCGCCTCGGCCCCGCTGGGTGGCGGGGCGCGCGGATTTGCATGAAGAAGGCCAGCAAGTTCGCCGCCTGGCTCGAGTGCAAGCAGCGCCCCCCGCTGGTGCCCCCGCTCGGCACACACGCTGTCCATGCAGTATCGGAGGGCACCAAGTGTACACCTGCGCTCGAATATGAAAGATAAACATTTCTTGGATTCAGCGCGGACTTTGTGGATCGGCGCTGGGCCCTCTCCCTGGCGGCGCCTCCGGCGTGGCCCCTGGCGCGCTACGCGCGTCAGCGAGGGTCTCCAGCGCCGATCCGAGGAGCCCGCGCGGACCTCAGGAATTATGTTTATGCAGTCTTTGCTTTTTCTTGCGCCGGTCCCGGCCAGGCCGACCCTGGCCCCAGAATCGGCCTGGCCAGGATCTGTGCAGGTGTAAAGGTGTCGTCGTCATAGGACAGTTTTTCGAAGGTCCGCGCGGATTGCTTGGGTCGGCGCTGAAACCCCTCCCCTGCAGCGACGGAGGCGCCACCAGGGGGGTGTTGCAGCGCAGACCCCAGAGGTCCGCGCGGACGTCGGCGCTGAAACCCCTCCCCTGCAGCGGCGGAGGCGCCACCAAGGGGGTCTTGGCAGCGCAGACCCCAGAGGTCCGCGCTGACCTCGGGCAGTCAGATACTTGTGCGGACTCGTCCTCCTCGCAATGATTTGCCAGCTCTTGGAGGCAGCCCGCAGGAGCGACGGGAGAAATCGGGGTCGACTGCGCTGACGCTCGCGCGTGCGCTTCCCGCGTAAGGCCGCGCGCAAGCGCCCTTTCTTCCACGAGGTGTGCCACGCTGGCGGCCCGCGTTGGCCGCGGCGCAAGGTCGCCATGCCTTATCTCGTGTAAGACCCGGTTGTTGTCGTCGCTCGCATGGGGTCAGAGTGTTCTGGGTGGGATATTCGTCGAGGGGTGGGCGATGAACCTTCTGACGAAGCTTGCCCATCCCCCTCCTCCACCACCTCCCCCTCCTCCTCCCCCTCCTCCTCCTCGTCCTCGTCCTCCTCCTCCAACCCCCCTCCACCCGTTCCGACAGCACGTGCCCACCCACCCCAGCGGATCCAAGGGCGGGGCGATTATTGCACCATCCAGAGTAGACGGGGTTGGAGGCTCACGGCGCATCGCCGATGCATCGGCGACGCGGCTTGATTCGGAGCCAGGTTTTCTATATCCCGATGTCGCCGACGCATCGTCGATGCATCGGCGGTGCAGCATGATGTACCCCATCTACTCGGTCCCCATTTCGGCTGACTTTTCCTTCGTTCGCGGTCGTCGCCGTCGTCATCGCCTTCGTCGTCGTTGTCGTTGTCGGCGTAGGCGTCGCCGTCGCCGTCGCGTCGTCGTCGTCGTCGTCGTCGTCGTCGTCGTCGTCGTCGTCGTCGTCGTCGTGGTCGTCGGCACACTCGTCGGCGTTGGCGTGATCGTGGTGGTCGTGGTCGTGGTCGTGGTCGTGGTCGTGGTCAATTTCGTCGTCGTCGTTTTGGTCGTCGCGGTCGTCTTCCATTTTCCGCGTCGGCTGCCTGGACCGCCCCAGGGCCGTGCTTGGACTGCTGTGGCTCCAAGTTCTCGAAGAAGATGCTCGAGGGGATCCGCCGGGGCGTGGCGCGGGCCGCGCGGGAGGAGAGTGCCGCGTGCCACAAACACAAGGCGGACCAGGAGAAGAAAACGGCGGAGGGCTGCGTCTATTCCAGGCACCCCTCCCGCGGTGGCTGCCTTGGACCGCCCTGGGCCTGTCCTGCAGACGCTGTGGTCTCTCCGTGTGGTCGCCCTCGCCCGTGGGTGCCTGGGCAGCTGTGCGGCCCCGTGCACGGACCGCCACGTGGTCATCGAGCTGAGCTCCGCGCGCGCTTTCGAGCGCCGCCAGCGGGGCAGCGAAGCCCCGCGGCCGTTCGGGAGTCGCGTCGGCGGCCGAAAAAATGAAAACGCTGAAAACCGTCAAGGTCCAATGGGGGCCCGTTGATTTTTTCCTCTCGGGGGCTTCCTGGGGGTGTTTTTGGAGGCATCTTCGGGCGGCGTGGAGGTGGCTGAAGCCGTCTGGGCGCCATCTTGTAACGACTTCGGTGACTGTGGGCCCTATTTGACCGCCTCGGGGGCCTCTTGGGGCGTTCTTGAAGGCCCTGAAGGCAGCTTCCAAGAGTATTGGCATCCGCGGCGGGGACCGCTTGGCGTTCGCGACGAGTCTTTTCGCCCAGGGACCCCAGTGGCAGCCGCGCGAGAGGGAATTAGAAGTGACAGCTCTGCTCGGTCATTTGTTTGGCGACGGCCAGGGAGGGGGCCGAACTGGGCGGCGCAAGTGCTCCGAATCGCGTTCCCGGAAACCTGTCCGGGAAGCTTATTTCTGATGTCCCGGCCGTCGTCGACGCCGAGGTCACTCCCCATGGGGTCGGTGGTGGGTTTCAATGTCCCTCAGTGTGACCCATCCCCACTGGCATCTGTGGTGCCCAGGGCCCGACGAGCACTTGCAATTGCTGCCGGCGCTGCTGACGACCGTCTCGAGGTTCGCGTCGGGCTCCTCGATGTTCATGATCTTGCCGATGTGTTTGGGCTGGTCCTCTTCGTCGCAATCTGATGGTGCTGTCCATTCCCGTGGAACCAGACCTCGCAGCCAGAAGCCTGGGACCGCTGAGCTGCCCTCGCAGGTCCGCTTCCTCAGGCTGTCGCTTTCCTTGTAATTTTTGTGAGGCTCGCGTAGTTGGCATTCGTTCCAGATTCGATGGGAGTCGTCGCAGACCTGCCCGCCGCCGCGTGGGTTGGAATCCGCGAGGGGTTTTGCCTGCGATCTCGTGTCCATGTTGCTTCGCGCGCTGCTGCTTGGAGTGCGCTCGATACTTCTCACGCTTCTGCACGTGCCTGACGCGCTTAATGAGGCCGTGCGTGTTGATGCCTCTCTCTGCGGTCTGTCCCAGCGAGTGTTGAGGAGCGCCGGGCAAACGTATCCTCTGCTGAGTTCTGAGTATTGCGTGGATGACGTCCGAGGGGTCGCGGGTGTGGTCGTACTCATCGTCGCCCCTGATCCACTCGTGGCCGCCCTTGTCGATCCAGTGCGTCGGGTCGATCGGTTTCCATCCGATTTCCCGCGGGGAGAAGATGACATTTCCCATTGGCCCACGTCGCTGCTTGCACTGGTACTGGGCTGGGATCGTGTGCAGATGCTCATGTACTATTGGCCATGCTTGGTGCGCTCCTCGGTGTATATCATAACGATGGCACCGGGCGCGAAGCCAGGTTCGCGACTACTCCCCGTTGTACTGCGACCGCTCCGCCCGACCCCTCTGGTGCCAAATGTGTTTCGCATTGGGCCCGCTGCGCCGAATTTCTCTGGGTGCGCCGGTGCTACCTGTGATTGGCTCACTCATCCGCCCAGTTGGTCGTCCGAGACAAGACTGGACAATGCAGACTGTGAGATATGCGGCACAGAGGTACCTGGACCGCCAACGGATGGAGGAGGCCATGATCGACCGATCCGCGGGGTCGGTGCAGCGCTGGAAGCACTTGATGGGCAATTCCGTGAGGCCACCGCGCAGCAGGAGTCCATGATGGATGGCCCCCCCCCCCCCCTTTCCTCGACTCACTGTGCTGGCGAACTTGGTTCTGAACTCGTGGCGTCGATTTGCTGCCCGCCGCGTGCTCGCGCGACGCGCGTTTGATTGGTGCGTGCGGGGGGTGGTCAATCCTTAACCGCAAAATGCTCTAAAGACCTCCCCCCTTCGGCAGAGCGATGACGCGCCCGGTCCCCTGGATGCGTTATTCGGCGAGCCCGGGGGCTGGGGGTGGGCCCGAGGGGCTGAAGGCCAGGGTGTTGAGGGTGAGCGAGAGCTGCGGACGAGGCGGCTCCCTCCTCGGGCTCTCGGGCGTCAAGGCGCATCTTCCCCACTGGGCTCTTCGGAATCTCGTCGGGCCTCCTGGGTTGGCCTTTCGGCCCCATCCTCGGGTCAGACGGCGTTCCGCCCTCCGCCTCCGTGGCCGTTCTGGCTCAAGAGGGTTCAGGGGCGCTCAATTTTTAACCGAGGCTTCCGCCCCGCAGTGGCTCCCCCTGTCAGGGGTCCGACGGAGGTGCTTCCGGAGAAGGTCCAGCGCCCGTGGCTCCAGACGGACGTCGGGGAGTTCAGGGTGGTGGCCTTCGGCGAGATCCGCGAAGAACCAATGTCAGGGCCGTGCGCCTCCGCGACGCAGGAGTCGCCTCCGCGACGCAGGAGACGAGGGCGGGGGGCTCAGGCGCCTGCTCCTGCCTGCCATGGGCCCGCGAAGCTCGGAGACACTGAGGCCCCGCGCGCAGAGGGGGACTGGCTGAGGCGGTTCGAGCGCAGGACAGAGAGGGCGAGCGCGGTCAGGCGGACGAATCAGCACTGCATCATCGCGGCCTCTGGGGAGCCCCGCCCGAAGGCGCCGGGCCCTTCAGCGCGGGGTGCCGAGCGCCGCTGGGGGGCGAGCGTTCAGGTCTGGAGCGCGGAGCTGGGCCGCGTCAGGCCGCGTTCGTTAAATTAGCCGCCTGATCAGACTCGTTCGCCGCCCTGCCAGACCAACCCGACCTGCCAGGCCCACCTTGCCAGACAGCTCACCCGGAGGCAGCTTGCCCTGCCAGGCCTACCAGGCAGCTCAGGTGAACGAGGTGCGACCCTGCGCGGCGGCCCACCTTGCCAGACAGCTTAGGTCAGGCACGCTACCGGGCAGCTCACCCTACCAGACAGCTCCCCATTAATCCGTGCCCGCGGTATTTCAAGCCACTCGGGCTCAAGCAGACCTCGCGGCCCAGTCAGTCATTAGATTGGGCGTGATTCCAGGGCCCGCGGCCCGCCCGCAAGGCAGTCCGTCTCGCGGCCTCGCCCCGCATCAGATGCTGCAGGAGAAGCAGGGGCGCGAACGCTCGCGCTCCCGCGGGCGGGGTGCCCCTCAGCTGGAGCTGCGTGGGCTGGGCTCCAGGTCCGCATCAGTGAGCTCGGCGGGCGGCTCGCGGCCTTCCAGTCGCGCGGGCGCGTTCGGGCCACGGCCGTCGACTTCGACTCGGGCGCGCGCGCCCTCGGGGGCGAGGTCGAGGCGCTGCAGGCCGCGGCGGCTGAGGCGCGAAGCTGGGCGCTCAGGCCGA